TCCAGCTTCCGTTTCAGTATCAGCAACAAGCCAGAGAGTATTGGCCTTAAACGTCTATAGTTACAGAAAATTAAGAAATAAACCAACAAGAGTTGCTTCATCATCCGACTTTGAGAGATATTTTGATTTTTCAACGAGGCATTAACTCTTTTCATTGCTTGTGAGAGTGTTGAACTGGACCAATGTTTTTGCCTTACACGCTACAGAGAACGATGAACAGTTGAATGTTCACAACTTCAAACATACGAGATACCTCGGTGAGATCTAGATAGTTCTCAGTTGATGGTGCATCCAGAACACGCTTATTCAAACGAGGCATAACGTCCTTTTGGTCGACAAGCCAGTTACCAACGTTAACTCTGTCGGTAAGCTGACCCTTTCGAACAGCTCTCTGTATTTTCGGGGTAATCTTCATGACTTCCAACATGACAGTTTCTTCAAACTTGTCCCCCTTGATCTGAAACAGGCCGTTTGAGAGCCAAGCCAAAAAAAATTAAAATTCTTACTCCAGTTTGATCAAGTCGGAAACCGTTCAATAACACTTGAGGAGCATTTTTCTTCGAAGTGAAACATTGTGTGAAAAGTAGCCTGATGGCACATATCGAAACCTGTTGAAGTTCTTTATGATGAGTTTGCCTCAACCGCTTGTATCCACTCATTTCTTCACACATGTTGTTTTCCTGAAACGACGAGTTTTTAGAAAAAAACATCAAAACAGAAAATAGAAACCTTAGTGCACTCTTCCTGCTCTCGAGAAATGAACTTGGCCGATCGGAGGGTTGAGAATTGAGAATTTCGTAAAGTCATCATGTCATCCTGCAGAAAAACGTAATCCCATGCTTTAAACAACTTTCCAGAAGATTATACTGACTTTATTGTTTCTCTCTTCAACAACAGGAAGTGGAGAAGCTGATCGAGATCAATCGCCTTCCCGTTCAGAACATTCTAATGAAATATCTCCTATAGGTATAGTCATCTTGTTCTGAAAGAAAACTTCACACCTATGCCATGGACACGAACATACCTCGTTGTCATGACTGTCTTGTCTCATACTCCCTGGAATAGGAGGTCTCCTATTGCCTCCGGGACCACTTCTACTTTGTAATGATTGGAAAGACGTCAAACTTTTTACCGACACGGTCTTTGAGCTTGTTGAACGACCAGCTAAAAGCAGGAATTAGAACACGAATAGGATTTAAGGGTATACTTCTATCTACGGATAAAGAATCTACGTTGCTAGATATATCGTCGATATCATCGGGATCATGAGTTCCTGCAATAGAAAAAAATAATGAAGAAACATTGTAAACAGTACCTGTGTTTTCAATATCGAGTCCTTCAAAAAGTTAGTTGTGGGGGTTATGAAACTATGCTGAAAAAATAAATTAACGATGAAAGAGGTACTCCCTAGAACTACCTGAATACAAGAGTCGGTTGATGCTCTTTCTTCGGGATCTTTCCGTAGGCATTTAGCAATGAAATCCATGAAAGTGGAAGACCTAGGACGAATACTCATACTCTATCAATCAAGGATAAATGATTACCAAGGTGCTTGAATATCTGGTACAGGAGCCGGAGTGAGAGTTTCATTCTGCGCATTATGGT